GACTCGGCCAAAAAGAGCGTTCAGTAGGCAATTTATTAAATATTTCTTAATATATGACGTCATTTGTTTACATTTGATACGCCAGAGCAGTTATGAATGTACGAGATTCATGGAAGATTGAAGTTTATAAGCAGTAAATTCGACCTTGTCTACCGAACGCCTTTGTGGCCGAGTCGGTTAAGGCACGTCAGCGTAAATGACGGTTCCGTATAGGATGCAGGTTCGAATCCTGTCAAAGGACGAATATTTTCTATGAAAATTTCTCGACATTCAGGCCGGTAAATGTTATTTAATACTGTTTATTATAAACAGAGCATTTACTTAAATACTTGTATCTATAAAAAAGAACGTTAAACATTAAACATAAAATGTCTTTAATAAATAAATTGTCGGACTTTGTCCATTTCTTAATATATATATATATATATATATTATTGTTTCATATTTAAAAATATAAAACCCTAAATTTTTGACCTAATTGTTAAATTCTTTCGTATTTTTCGACATAAAACAAAAATGACATTAAGATTTCAGATTATATATATATATATATATATATATATATATATATATATATATATATATATTTGAATTATTTGAACACTAACGGATTTTATTTCAAAATTTTTTTTTTTATACGTCTAGAATGGGGAAATCAAAACATCAAAAAAAAATTTATTATTATTATTATTATCATCATCATGCATTATCATCATTTTTATTATCATAATCATTTCATCTTAATAATTCATTTTATTATCATTAATTTCTTCTAATATTTGCATCATCATAAATATTATCAATGTCAATATTATTATTATTATTATCATTATTATTATTATTTATTATTATTATATATATATAATAAATTTTATATATATATTATAAATTCTGTTTGTTCAAAAACGGAAAAATATTTCGAATTTTTTCAAACATAAAATTCTTTTGATAAACCCTTTGCATTGTCAATTACTTTTTGCTTTATTGATATTTATATATATATATATATATATATATATATATTATAATTACAGGGAAAATTTTTGCTATCATATTAAATCGCATTCTATCTAAACTAATTAAGATTTAAAGCACACAATGCCTCAGAATCGTCTTTTTCATATCTATATCAAGTTCCTATAATTTAAATTAAACATTTATTTATATCTATTTATTTAAAGTTTTTCATTATTTAAAAAACTTAGACTAAAAAACAAAAACTGAAAAGAACTTATTTTTATTAATCTGACATTTATTATTATTGGATTTTTGCTTAAATTCAATTAATTTATTTTCCCAGCTTATTTTTTATCTGACAAGAATGATTTTGTTGCTGTGAAGAGATAAAAAGTAAGCCCTCAAAATAAAATTAAATCAAGGATTTACACGAAGACGCGTTTCAGATATATATTAGATTATGTAAAGTGGTTACTGACTTCACACCGATTTCAAAGAAAAAAAAATACCTTTATGTTTGACACTGATATATTTTGAAGTGACAAGATTCAATCAAGCTCTTGCTAACCAGAAAAGAAAATGGCGCATATTCTTCTTTTATGCCTATTTAAAAAATGTTATCGGTTCTGAGTAAGTAAACATTTTAAATTCCCTTTTTTAAAATTCATAATTACCAAACAAAACTTATCTCTCCCCAAAATTCTTTCTTTCCTTCTTTTTTTTTACAAAAAGAAAATATAATCTTCTTCTTCTTCTTCTTCTATATTTCTTCTTATTCTGTACATTTTTTATCCCTTCAGGACGTTAAATAGTTTGAAAACTCTCCAAAATATTCACTACTTTATATTTCTATTAATAAATGTTGTCTTTTTACAAATCTCCTCTCCCATTTTAATTTTAAATTTTACTCAAAAAAAATAATTATAATGGTTATGAAACATATTTTTTTCGTTCCTCTTGTAAATTTAATTATAAATAAGAAAGTTAAATTATCTAATCCCTCTTTCCTCATTGTTTGGCTTAGAAATGCCTGAAGAATAAATGACCTTTTTGTTTCTATTTTCTATAAAAGTAGTTGCTCACATTTAAGTAATGAACTAATTTCTACATCATCATCATCATCATCATCATCATCATCATTATTATTAAAATTATTCATTACAGGCCTGTTTCATGATCACAGCATGATATATATATATATATATATATATATATATATATATATATATATTTTGTCCAACTGTTTAATTTGAAAAAAAAAACATAAAATACAAATTCAATATAAATATTGGGAGATTGTATCTCAATGGATTAAATAATATTTATGTTGGTCACACCACAAATTTGAAATTCATGACGCTTGACTCTACATTTGAATGATAACTCTAACATTTTTAGGCATTTAAAACAACATATCTATATGCATACACAATTCCGGAAAATCCTCGTTGAAAACACAACTATACTTAAACAAAAAAACAAAAACTAAAAATTCTTGAAGCTATATACATAAAACAGTTGAAACTTAACCTGAACAAAATACACTATGAAATCTCCACAAATCTTCCTAAATGTCTATAATTTTTTATAACAAAAGCCATTGGTTTATACCAACGGCTTCTCATACTTTATACTTCTCGTTTTCACTCTCGTATGTGTGACGTTACGAGCTGTGGTGCGATTTTCGCTGACGCGTCTCGTATTTATACATTTGTTGTTGATTGGAAATCTTTCAGGCAAAAAAAACAGACTATCATTATTGTTTTGTCTGTGTATTGCTTAATATATTGAAATATAAATGTAATCTTTGGTAATGGCTTATGTAAGCCGAAAGCTTAGATTGATTAAAAAAATGTATCAATATGGTGATTTTTTTCATCTTTCAATGATAATGTTATTAAACTTATCAGACAATATGAAAAGGAACTTACTTAAAATAAATAGAAAAAAAACTTGTCTATATTATTTAATGAAACATGCATCAATATAATATATATATATATATATATATATATATATATATATTTATTTATATATAATATATATATTATATATATATATATTATAAATAATAAAAGTTCAATTTTTTCAAAAAATTATTAAATTGAATAAAACGAATAAAAATGAATTTCTTTTCTTTTATATACATCAATTTATTATCCATATATATATTTTAAAAATTTAAATTTTATTTATATATATTTAGATATATATTTTTTTCGATATTTTTTTTTTTTATTTTTTACGTTTTGTTTTTAAAACATAATTATATATTTCTATTATTTTTATATTTATTAAAAACAATTTTTAAATTTTTAAAAAAAATATATTTTAATTTAAATTATACTTAAATATTAATAAACTCCGTAAAATTTTATAAAATAAAAAAAAATAATAAATAAAAAAAAAAAAATCAAATTATTTTTAAATTTTTAAAGAAAGAGATTCTTTTTATATATATATTTTATTTGCATTTAAAATATTTATCAACATTTATATAGTTTTTTACAGATATTTTTTTTTATATATACATATATATATATATATATATATATATATAAAATGAATATAATGTATAAATATATATCTATCTTCTCAATAAGTTTGTTATTAAAATTTTTTTCTTATTCTATTTTTTTTTTATTTTTTAATGAATCTTTAAACTTATGTTTAAAATTTTTTTGGAAATGAAAACATTGAAAATGAGGTTGAAAATAAAGCAATTTATGATTTGAATTTCAGTTAAAAAAAAGAATTTGTTTATAATTAATTTTTAAAATTTAATTTGGTGTTTTAAATATTTGAAATAAAAATAATATTTTATTTATATAAAATATATTTGTATATTCGATATTTTAATATGGTTTTAAAACGTTTATTTAAAATTACATTTCAAGCTTAAATTTAAAAAAAAACATTGGTTTTTGTAAAACTTATCTGATACAAAGAAATGTATTTTTGCATTATTTTTTTTTTTTTAAAAATTATTGAAAAAAAATTTTTTCTTATTTTATTTTGAAAAAAAAAAAATAAAATTTTTAAAAAAAATTTCGTATATGAAAAAATTTTTCATAACCTCTAAAATATTTGATATTATTTAATGATGGTTAAAATGTTGATTTTTTATAATTTAAACTTTATTATATTCGTTTTGTTTGAGAACTTTTTAAAATGACTTGTATCGATATAGTATAATAAATGTACTTGAAAGATTTTGTAAAATATAAAGATATTTTTTTTTATAATATTTTTTGAACGCTATTGAATTCTATCAAAACTGAAAAATTTTTCAAATCCCCTAATTAATAATATAGAAATGTTTCCCGATTTTAAAAAAGGTTTGAATGATGAACATTAGATACAAGACTACTGGTCTTCTGAAAATATTAAAATTATATAATATAGAGATATTGATTCCTTTAATATATATTTTTATAAATATTTTTAAATTTCTTTTTTTATATTTTTTTATAAATAATAAATTAATTATTTCATTTGATTTGATATTTTATAAATTTTTTTTCTATTTTTAAAATTTAGAAAACTTAAAAAATTAGAAAAATATAAATCATCTTTTCATTCCAAAAAATTTTTAATTTTATAAAATGAGTTTATTGAAAGAAATATTGAACTCAAAATTCGGTCAAATCTGTTTTTTTTTTTTTTATTGTTATAATAAAAAAAACGTATATATAGAGTTAGATTTCCATTCAAAATGAAAGATTCTTGAATGATTCAAAGATAAAAAGGTAGGTAAATTTTTATTAGGTTTATAGATAGATTTTTTAGAATTTTTTTACCTTTATTTTAAATTAATGAGATAATACATTTTAGAAAAAAAATTTTTTATTGTTGAATTTTTTAGATTTATTTCCTAAATTAATTAGAAATTCTAGAAAATAGATAGATTCATTTTCATGAATGAAATTGAGAAAATAAAAATTATAAATAAAAGATATAATAAAAATAATTTAAATATTTTGAAAAATAAAAAGATAGATAAATAGATAGAAAGATGGGATTTTTAAAATTCTAAAAATGAATCAACATTGAATAGATAGATAGACATACGAAAAAATGAGATAGATAAATAGATAGATAGATAGATAGATAGATAGATAGATAGATAGATAGATAAATATTTTCAGACTGATAGATAGATAGATAGATAGATAGATAGATAGATAGATAGATAGATAGATAGATAGATAGATAGATATGATATAAAAAACAGAAATAGATAGATAGATATGAATAAATAAGATAGATAGATAGATAGATATATATATAGATAGATAAATATATATTATAAATAAATAAATAGATATATATAGATATAAGAAGATAAATAGAATATAGATAGATAGATAGATAGATAGATAGATAGATAAATAGATAGATAGATAGATAAAATAAAATAAAAATTTAATTATAAATAAATATGAATAAAAAAACAAAAAAGATAGATAGATAGATAGATAAATTTTGAACAGAATGATAAATGTGGACTAAATGATAGATAGATAGATAGATAGATAGATAGATAGATAGATAGATATGAAAAAACAGAAAAGGGTAGACAGATATGAATAAAAGAAAAGGATAGATAGATATATAGATATATATATAGATAAATAAATAAATATGAATAAAAGCATTTATATAAAAAGATAGATATTTTGATAGATAATAGGATAGATAGATATTATAGATATTATAAATAAAAATAAAATTTAGAAATAAATATGAATAAATAGATTTAAAGGATAGATAGATAGATAGATGTTTAACAGAATGATAAATGATTAAAAAAAATAGATAAATAATATTAGATAGATAGATAGATATGAAAAATACATTGAAATTAAAATCCAT